AGTGTTCGACTGCGATTTTGTGGAAACTTACTGCATCTCGTCTGAGCAACAAGTCAATCGATACATTCATACCCAATTCGTGGAAACGAAGTATACTTTCATTTTAATTTTCCCCCAATTTTTTGTGGATTGTGATTTTTTGTTTTCCTATCATCCAATAGCTTGTCTCTTGGCGAAGTTCTTCCAACTTACTAATATAAGATTTTAAGATGCAATATTTTAAGATCCGATGAGGACCCTGAACTGAATCCACAAAAGCACCCGGATGTACTTCTGATGGTATTGGACTCTGTAGCATCAACACAAATAATAAGGTGATGAAAATTCGAGTGATTTCTCGTGAGCGAATCATCCGAAAATGTCCACTACTGAAACCTCCTTATTGGTAGATTATCTACTGGCATTAGTAGTATAGGGCGGAATAACTCGTGATAATGATAACTTATCTATGTGGGAATTTTTCTGAAAATCAAAAAAAAGTTGGATGTGTCCTGTTCGCGTATTACCTTCAGCGTAACGGTTCTCTACGTTTTAAAATGTATCTGTCCTCGTTCGCAGAAAACTCAAAGTAAAATAGTTATATAGTGATATCGTTGCACTCAGTCGGATTTGTGTCAGGAGGGCTGTAAAAAATACTGTATATTGTGTATTGGTAAAAAAGGCAGTCTGAGGGGGATGAGACCCCTCCCCTTTAGGCTGCCTTTTTTACCAATATTATGGGTGAGTGATCGATTCAAGAAAAAATTCAGTGGTAGAAAATACCGGCGGTGCCTCACCGACTGCGACGGTCTCAGCCTTGAACCACACTGAATTATAGTAAACTCAGTGAAATTTCCATTCATTACCAATTCCCTCGTGTGACCCTCGAAATGAACTTCCTTTAGTGGTCTGATTTCAAAACAGAAATCATCATCCGGAAGAATTGGTAGTTTTTACAGAGGTCTGCCGAGAACTATCAATTTTCTGACGAAGGGAATGGAAGCAGTCGAATTTCTAAAATTCAACAAGGTAGGATCAAATAGCAAACCGAATGCATTCCCAATGTTCTACGGTGAGTTCAGTTCACTACTCTCAACGAGCACTACACAGCATTCTTCGCTGCGAATGAAGGGGCGTGTCAGGAGGGATCATTTTGGCGCGGCACCAAACTTGTTCTCCACCCCTTGCAAGCGACCAAGCGACAAGACTGCATCATGTCGTTCGTGCTGGTTGTTTTTCACCAACTGGTGTCACTCCCGCCTCAACTGGCGGAGAACGGCTTTGGCGCTGCGCCAAAGTCATCCCGCCTGACATGTCCCTTCATCTGCGGCGAACAAGGGATGTCCAAAAGCGTTGATAGCAGAGTGTTGGGACTGAGGACAGTATTGTCGGCTGCAGCAGAACGTTATCACAGCTGATAAGGTCCGATAAGAAGCTATAGAAAAGGAGAGTCGCTAAGTTCACAACGCGGTTCACAGCATCAGCGAGAAGTTATTCCAGCAAGCGACATGAAAGGTCATAGGACATCAGCAGTGGGTGACAGAAAGCGATGGCAACTAATAGGGCTGATAGAACGCTGCGGTCCATAGTCGTTATTTCGAGTTATGTGGTGAGCCTGTTTGAGATCACCAAATTACAGATTTATTTGCTGGACACGATGGACGGCGTGACAATGATGATATCAGTTGTTGAGAATAGACAGAGTCATCTTCATTGCACTCCCTTCTACTTCTTACCACCATTCTTTCGTGTGTTCAAGACTCGTTGTGTGAACTCTCCCCTTTAGCCACCCACGATGTCAACAAAATGATAAATGCAAGTAATTCATGATTGGAGCCGAACGAAAGTAGAGGCGAGGCGGCGTCGACAGAAGAAGAAGAAAAATCGAAGAAGAAAGAAAAATTATTCTGTGACCATTTCGGCATATTCGCGCATTACTTAACTCGATGAGGATTAAGTGCCATGGCGGATTAGTGCCAGCGCGAAGTCGGGACGCTGGTATGGAAGAGAACGCCTGCAAACCAGCTTGGCGATCCGACTTGAGGGCCGAATTGTCAGGTTAGAAAAAAGTCCACAAGCACGGCTGAACAATTTCTTCCAGAAAATCAAACTATCTCGCTTGGCCTAGCTAGCTAGCTCCCAACGCTTAGATCTCTGGCTGCTTTCCAAGATTAAGCATGACGCAAGGTGAGCGATAAAACTGCTTCAGCTTCTTTCAGCGCTAGAGCGCGATGGGAGCGCGATTTCGTGATGGTAACGCGCTATTCGTCGGATGGTGCTGTTTTGTCTGCCTTTTGCGTCATTGAAACATGGGAACACATCAGACTAAAGTCTCCACTGCCGATACTGGTTAACCGGCTCATCACGTTAAAGCATGAATGCTGGAAGGCTATGACACAAAAGCCATTGAGCTGAGAGGATAAGGGTGCACCGCGTGAGTGATCGCGCGGTTCGCCGGTCAGCTCGAGGTTCAGATTAGAGCCTCGCCTATTTTTTTTGCACAGCGACTCAAAAGTTCAAAAAGGTTTTCAAATGCTATCGGTGTTCGCATTTTCGGATATTTCGTAGCTCAGCACCTTCTTCAGGGATCTCGATCTGTTTCCTGTTGCGGTGTAGATGCCTTACGGCAAGAATTGGGAACTTAGTGAGAACACTTAGTTCTAAGTACGAAGCGGGGCAGCCGTGAAAGTTGTTACGCCGCAATAGGAGGCAGACTTAAGTCGCTGAGTGAGGCAGCTCATGTGAAATGTTGAATGGGATGCCACTATAACCTCATGAGAGGAAATCGAAGCATTGTCCTGGAACTGGAATGTCAAGGGAGAGAGAGGAGCTTGTAGATTAAAATAAAAGAAAAAACTGGTGGTGAAAGATATAGAACGTTCTAAATTGGTAGAGCTGGGACAAAATGGGGTAGCTGAGCAGAAGTTATTGTGATAGGCTCAAGGATGGAAAGAACATGGGAAACGTGGTGAAATTTTCTGCTGTGGATTATTCGAGGAAGAAACATTCGCCTCAAGAATCACTCCATTCACCTGACCCTCCAGTGCTCGGATTTATCTTCATTTGAAGATGGCGACTTTTTGGATATTTTAAAATTATCTAAAACGATTAATGAGTTAAGGATTCTCTATGTAAATGACTCTAACTCAGGAAAGACGCTGGAGCTCGTGACGAGAAAGGCATTCAACTTACCCTCAATCAAACCAGATTGGTCTTACGATTACTCTTGTAACCGATATATTGATAACGAGAGCTTAATCTTGCTTGAATATCAAGATGCCGGATACAAGGTACTGGATTATGCTTTCATGGAATTTAATTAATCTTGGTGAAAACTGCTCCTTGCACATTAAACAGTGCTAGGTGTTTGCTCCGCTCTCCAGAAATTCCACGAATTGGTTGTGATTATACCATCAGTACCCTCATACGTTAAAAGGGAAGTGTGCAGGAAGTAGAAGACGTGAAACGGTTGATCAGAAAGTCCGATCTTCCCATAGTTTGCTCTTTAACGCTTTTGAAAGATCTTCTGAAAGCGTAAGGAGACATGACGCACTTACAAACAGACATCTTCAATCGGTGTTCATTCACGTCCCTTCCGCTCAATGAAAGATAATGACTACGACACGGATTGCCGGTTTAGAATAATTCTAGCTGGGATGCGTGCACTGCCGGTGATTTGAATTTTAAATCTTATCCGATGAACGGAGTACTATTTCCATTCCCAAAGAGTGTTGCATGTTCCAAAAAAAGCGGCAGTAGCCTGGAACATATAGACCTGGGAAGATGGGTGTAGATCGAGCCAGTATTTCTGCCAATGTTCAACTCCCTAGGAGTAAATTCGCTGCGTCAGACAGCGTTCAGACTTCGCGATGACACGGGTCGACGGGCTTAGCACGGCGATGCCATGTAACATGCATGAACGCGCTACAATTGCGACGGCGCTTCAATCCTATAGACTCCAGAGCAGCCGCCGACGAGAAATGGGCGACTGCTTGTACCTAGGAGAGTATAGGATAACAGGAATGTAACCACTGCACTAGCGACTAAAGTCGATCAGCACCGGTGTCGCAAGTAGTCGTGATTTCAGTAGTTCTGCTTTAATTATTTCATTTGCTATTCATCTACTTCATTTGCTTCAGTGCATACCGCACGTTTTTTGCGAGCATGATCAATCCTTTTACAAGTCTCTGCGGTCGCGTCAAAGCCTCTCGCTAGGCGATGTTCTCCCCTCCCCTACAAACGTATAAAGGTCTCTGCCCCGAGAGAGACGGCGAGGCGGGAGTTGAAATTTTCTTTTTGGAAGCACGGATGCCCCGCTATTAATCTTTGCAAATGCGTACTTTTTTATTTGCATAATTGCAACGTTGAATTGCCCAGTTTGTTGCACATAAATGTCTGCCGTGCCTGTGTTGGTTTGAAGCAGAAGTACCCTAAAATCCCATAGATAAGAGCGGTCCATAGATAAGAGCGGTCTGTGCTAGAAAATGAAAATTGACGTTTGTATACGTTTTTTTGGGAAAAATGGATGAGAGATGAAGCCAAAGCAACTTACACAAAAAAGTGGAATAAGGAGAAGGATGAGCTACGAAGAAGCTGCATTTTTAGTTAGCGAAAGTTTCCAATCCATTTCATCTGATGTTATTCAACATAGCTTTGAAAAAGCATTGTGTGATTTGGAAAATCTCAAAAACGATTTTGACGAAGTAGAAATTGGAAAAGTTTAGTGTTATGTATATGTTGGAGTCCCTGTTGTTGATATTGTGAAATGTTTTGTTGTGAAATGTGTTTTGAAATGAATTGTTGTGAAATAAAATTTTAAAAATGTTTTTTCAAATCATTTTTTACCGGTAAATTAAACCGCTCTTATCTATGGAATTTTACTGATCGAATGGGCTCTTCAAGTTCTATCCAGAGATCAAATTCCGGCATTTCTAGAGAGATTCCGGCAGAAATTCCGTTAAAATCGCTATTTTTCTATATGAATTGTTTATTAAGTGGGCGGGGTTTAGAGTTGAGGGGCGGAGCTTCTTCTAAACTTCTTCTCCGATTTTTATTTATCCATCCATCAAGTTAGAGGGGTGACTGCATTCAATTTCAATTTCATTCCAATTCATTTTTCACCGGTAAATTAAACCGCTCTTATCTATGGGATTTTAGGGTAGATTATATTTAGTTCGCTAATTCAACAAGATTGGAAAGTTACGCAACGCATACCCTCCTATCGAGATGAACGCTGCCTTATGTGCGCAATAACTTGTGGAAGTCAGTCTTTTTGTAGTATATTTATATGGATGTTCACGATTGTTTCAGGTTTTCGATGGTGAAGACTATAGTGTTACAGTCTTATACTATCCTGACTGTTATGGTATAACGAGAAAATTCCATCACTCTTACAGGTCGTTTCCCCTTCAGAGCTATTATCATCTTTTTTGTCTACAGCGCTGATTCTATGTGATGGATAAAATTCACGTGCTCTTTATCACACGACCAAGCATAGACGCACATCAAGAACTTCTGCGCCTGGGAGCTCCGTACTCCAACAGCACGCCGGCGAAAGGGCTGATAAAATGATCTTTGATGGAGCTGGAGCTGGCGGATCCACTAAGGCGGTATTGGGATTCCTTCCACTGCTGTCTAAAATGAATTCATTAACCGGTCCCTGCTTTCCATCACCATATGCTCGAATCCCATTCTTTGTTGAAGCTTTTTTGATCTTTTTGGTCTTATTTCGAGAGCGCCAACATATGAGTCCAACTTTCAGTCCTCGTTAAAAAGACATTTGACGACTCGGTAAACACTGCCAAATATGGTAATCACGGTGCGAAGCCTCAAAAGATTTCTTGTTCTTTCATCCTCGACATCTCCTACCCTTTTTGAATCTTTTTCTACTACCACTTCTGTTTATTTATCTATAACAAGCAGAAGGCAACAAACTTTACGTGATTACCTTTTTGCACTGACCTTGGGTGTAGACTAGAAGTCATATGCGCCGCCCTTCTCTAAGGCTATATTCGTTCCTTTGTTGTGTTAGAAGAATGAACTCTGATAAAGCTGATACTGCGCACCTCTTTTGAGAGCGTATTTAAGAGAGGTGAGCGGTAGGGTCGAGTTAGTTTTGTGTCGGTTTACATCGCCAATAAAACCTAGTGCGTATAAGGTCATATTTCGACACTCCCAGAGACAGCAAAGAAGTCAGGGATCCAACAGTGGCGACCAGGATCCAGCAATCAAGCAACGAAACCAGGATTTCCCAAAAGTAGAAGAAGGAGTGGGACAGAAGAAGTCCAAGACCAGGGAATCTGAACCGAGAAAAAGAATTCTGATCACAGCAGCAGCTAGTGATTCTACTATAAAGAAGAAGAACCACGACTCTCCTATACAGTATTGCTTTTATTAGACTGTGGCAGGGATTCGAACGCGGTAGCTTTCTGCTCGCTAGATATCTATCTATATATCCGACAATCACACACTTCAGCAAGAACCGGACGAGGACCGAGCAGATAAGTCTTTACTCTTGCTGTGATAGAAGTCGGTTTTGCTTGTTATCCGCACAGTGAAACGTAAGGCACGTGCTCAGAATCGGTTTACCAGTAGCGTGCCACACAAGCACAAGCTATCGTCAGAAGCACAGTCAGCTCACCGGACAACCACATCTACACTTGGAAAATGGATGTGACCACCATCCTGACCATGTTTAGAGAAATGATGGACGAACAGAGGAATGTTATGAACGAACAGAAGAATGTTATCGCCAAACTGCTAGATCGCATTCCAGAACGCGGACAGGGAGATTGCAATACGACGGAGCACATAGCACTCCCAAACTTGATGGCAGCGTTGAGCAACCGCATCGAAAAAGTTTGTGTTCGACCCGGATGCCGACATGATTTTCTCCAAATGGTTTTCAAGATACAAGGATGTGTTTAACGAAGACGCAAAGCAGCTTTCTGAAAATACCAAAGTCAGATTGCTCTGCGAAAAATTGGATCCTATATCTTTCGAGAAGTACCAGAGACATGTGCTGCCAAGAGATGTGACGGAAATCGGGTTCACCGAGACGGTGGACATACTCAAGCAGCTGTTTGATTTCAAGTCGTCATTGTTCACCACGAGATATCAATGTCTCAAGCTAGAGAAGAGCCAATCAGAAGACTGTTCCCCACGTATACGCGGTCGTGTGTTAATAGGCAATTTTCGAGAGAGAGCAAAATTCAGCAGCTACACCTCGGACGGGGGTCAAATGCCTTTCCTTGGATATTTCGCGGATTGAACTCAGCAGCAGGAGGCAACAGATCAGCAGCAGGCTTATCACAATACTGGATAGAGACCACAAAGCAGGCAAAACGGTCTCACTGCAACAATTGCATCAGGAGTGCGAAAACTTCTTAAGCCTTAAGAGAGACAGTGAAGTTGTCGCCGGAAGCTAGAAACAGCAAGCCACGTCGTTCAGAAAAGCGAAAGGAAATAGAATGTTGGAACTGCGAAGGCAAACATCGTGCTAGTGGATGCCAGGCAAAACCGTGGTTCTGCAAGAAGTGCAGGAAGGTCGGTCACAAGGAAAGGTTTTGTGACACTTTACGACAAAAGAAGACTGCGAGTCGCACAGAGGCGACGCAGAAAACTCAGCATACTAAAGAGAAGTTCTCGAGGAACAGAAACAACAGAGGTCCGAGAAAGCAAGTACGAATCGTCAAGATTGCAAATGCAGCAGTTCAGGCAAACTCTTCCCGTGTGTACATCGACGCTGTAGTGAACAACTACTCTGTCAAATTCCTTCTCGATACTGGATCAGACATCACGTTACTGAACGAGAAGATTTGGAAAAGATGGCTCTCCCCAGCATTGGAAAAGACCAATATAGTCGTGAAAAAACGCAATGAGATTCCATGAAGATACATGGAAAGCTTAAATGCAAGATTACCATGAAAGGTATCACTACTGAAGGAGACGCCTATGTGACGCCGCACAGCTCACTTCTGGGTCTCGAATGGATTCTCAGATCTCAGAG